CCCAGTAACTCCCAGGAGCCCCCAAGGAATTCTGGAGGAGAGCAAGGAACCTGAATGTAATTCCATTTCCTCAGTCCCTCCATAGGCTGTTCTAAGGGGAGCCTTGGTACCAAAGCCACTAGATTGGGTCCCAACACACGCTGTCTCTTTCTCACCCTCAAACTCGGGGGCCTGGCTTGCCAGCAATAAAAAGAGAATTAAAGTTAGCAGCTTTCACTTCCAACTCTAGCGGAGACAGATGGAGATGGGGACGGCTTTCCATTTCCAGCTTAGTAAAAGGAAACTACCAGGGGAATGGGAAGAGGGGATTTGGCGTATCCTCCAGGCCACTTCAACCACAGTGGGAGCTCATCTTACTGCAGCAGCTTACTACATGCCAGGCACGATGCTAAATGCTTTCCCAGTGTTATCTCACCACCCGCTCTGACCACCACGCAAGGCAGCTGTGGTTACTGTCAAGAAAAGAAAGACCTGGGAAGCGGGGGACTTGCCCAAGGTTACACAGCTTCATGGTGGTGGACCTGGGGTCTGCGTGAACTCCTAACTGTTGCACTGTGCATGTTCCCTGTCCCCTGCAGGTCATTAAAGAGTCCAAGCAGGAGCACAAGGATGTGATGTGAGGCAGGACCCACCTGTTGGCCTCTGCCCCATCTCATGAGGAGCCCGAGCAGAAGCAGGATAGTTGCTCCACCTCTGCTGGTGCATTTCCCCAGACCTGAGCTCCCCGCCACCCCAGCTGCTCCCCTCCCTCCTCTATCCCTAGGCCAGCTTGCTGCCCTAGGCTCCGTCAGTATTAGGCCTGCCAGACGGCACCCACCCAGCACCCAGCAACTCCAACTAACAAGAAACTCACCCCCAAGGGGCAGTCTGGAGGGGCATAGCCAGCAGCTTGGGTTAGAATGAGGAGGAAGGAGAGAAGGGGAGGAGGGTGGGGGGGGGACCTACTACATCGCCCTCCACATCCCTGATACCTGTTGTTATGGAAACTGTTGCTAGAGCTGGAGGTTCTCTTAGGGTATCTGGGAACTGTGCCTTTGAGTTTCCTCAGGCTGCTGGAGGAAAACTGAGACTCAGACAGGAAAGGGAAGGCCCCACAGACAAGGTATCTTTGGCCAGAGGCTTGTTTTGTTTTTTGGTTTTTATGAGGCGAGGTCTCCTATGCTGCCCAGGCTGACCTTGAACTCCTGGGCTCAAGCAGTCTTCCCACCTCAGCCTCCTGTGTAGCTGGGATTACAGGCTCAAGCCACCATGCCCAGCTCAGAGGGTTGCTCTTCTAGACTGATCCTGATCAGTCTAAGATGGGTGGGGATGTCCTGCCACATGGGGCAGTCACCTGCCCAGATCCCAGAGGGACCTCCTGAGCGATGACTCAAGTGTCTCAGTCCACCTGAGCTGCCATCCAGGGACCCTGTCTGTGGGCGTGCTGTGGGCAGGTGGGAGCTTGATTCTCAGCACTTGGGGGATCTGTCGTGTACGTGGAGAGGGATGGGGTGCTGGGAGGGATACAGGGGGGCTGCCTGGTCCCCAGTGGTGGGTACAGAGAGGTCAAGCCCAGGAGGACTGCCCCGTGCAGACTGGAAGGGATGCTGGTAGAGATGGTGGAGGAGGCAATTGGGATGGCGCTAGACATCCAAGTAGGGGGTGTGGGTGACCAGTTGCACTTGGCCTCTGGGTTGTGGGAATTAAGGAAGTGACTTACCCTCTTGAAGATGCTGAAAAAGGAGAGAAAGGGGATGTATCCATGGGGGCAGGGCATGACTTTGTTCCAGTTCTAAAAGCCTCTTCCTTGCTGTGTCATCCCAGGCCACCCCAGCCTCTGAGCCCCTGGGATTGCTGCTTCTTGACCCCAGTAAGCCACTGCCACACGTCTGACCCTCTCCACCCCATAGTGAGCGGCTGCTTTTCCCTAAGCCAAGGGCCTCTTGCGGTCCCTTCTTACTCACACACAAAATGTACCCAGTATTTTAGGTAGCACCATATTTTACAATTTGTAAAACAAGCACGAGCAAAACGAAGACACTGGCTCATATTCCTGCAGCCTGGAGGCCGGGTGCTCAGGGCTGACATGTCCACCCCAGTGCACCCACTCTGCTTTTTAACTGAGCAGACTGGTAAGCAGACTGGTGGGATCTGTGCCCAGAAATGGGACTGGGAGGGCCCACTTCAGGGTTCTCCTCTCCCCTCTAAGGCTGAAGAAGGGTCCTTCCCCCTCCCCAAGACTTGGTGTCCTTTCCCTCCACTCCTTCCTGCCACCTGCTGCTGCTGCTGCTGCTAATCTTCAGGGCACTGCTGCTGCCTTTAGTCGCTGAGGAAAAATAAAGACACATGCTGCGCCCTTCCCCAGAGTGGACTCGGATCTGTTTATGAGAGGGTGGGACTGGGGCCAAGATGTAACCTTTGACAAGACCAACTCACTTCCTATTACTGATCATCTCTGGAGCCCATGCCCTCACCAAATCCCACCCGCAGCCAAAGAGGACATACAGCAGCTCCCTCCACTCTCTTCCTCCTTCCTTTCCCTGCTACCTGCAACTCAACCAGTACAATCCTCAGAGGCAAGAAAGTAAAGCAGCTCAAACACGATTCAACACTGCTCAGTGTTTACCACTGGATAAATCTGAGTTCACGCCTTCCTTCTCTGACCTAAGTGTGAAGTCAGGAAACATGTGTACCCTAACTACTTCCATCCTGACCTCAGTCCCCAATCTCCCACCAGCCTCAAGCCCCTCCACTTCTCAGATCAGGCCCCAGACCTGCCCATGAAAATGGGGAGCAGGCTATAACTAACAGATTTGTCCACACGTTCCTACCACACGTCCCACCCCAGGGTACCCACCCAGAGACATCTGGTATCATTTAACAAACACATTGAAGGACAACTGGTCTTCAGAGCTGGGGAAAGAGAGAACCTAAGAGGAGAAGTTGGGACAACACTGAAATAAGTAACAGCAGCAACGACAGAGGTGAATGGTGACGAAGACTGCCGTGATGAACAGGTAGCCTATCAGGGTGAGCTCCACAGCCGAGCGAGTCTCGGGATCCGACAATGAGGCTGGGTAGCGCCCACGAGATGTCACACCCAGCCGGAAGCCAGCAACTCGCACACCCTGCCTCCAGCAATAGTAGATGCCCCGGTCATCCAGCTGGGTGAAGCGGATGTGGAGCTGGTTGCCGTGGTCAATGAACACCCTCATGGACCTGTTGACACCCTTCAGGTACTGTGTGCGGTAGAGGTGCTGGCGGTCTTTGTCCCAGGCCACGGCATGCTCTGGCCGGGCCCCGGGACAGGAGATGATGAGTCCATGGCCCAGTCTCTGCTGGTGGAACTGAATGGGCACCTGGGGCACCCAGGGCCGGCTGCCCACTTTGGACACATAGTTAACGATGGCCAGCACACCCTCCCGGATGGTCTTCGTCTTCTCACAGGGTACTATGCAGCTCCGAACCAGCAGCTCAGGGGTGTGGTCCCTGGCCTTGGTCTGCAGCTTCCTTGGCACAGCCCTTGAGCCACAGGACACCACATCAGGCACCGCCTTGAGGTAGCGTGGGGAGAGGTCTGGGCTCTGCAGGTAGCAGAGGCCGATGCGCCACTGCTCCCCACGCACCCCGCAGCGGTCACAGGGGGTCCATTCCCAGAAGGTGGTGAAGACATGGAGGTGCCCATAGTATTCATCTGCAAAGGGCTCCTGGCCCTCGTCCTGGAAAGTGGCCACCATTCCCTCACTGTTCTGGATGTCCACATCATAGGCGTAAAAGTAGTCCCCCTTGCGGGTGCCGCAGAAGTACAGGCCCGAGTCCTCAGGCTGAGCCCTGAAAACCAACAGGCTGAACATGCGGATGCTGAAGCGGGCCAGCATGTCGCTGCCCACACGTACCTGGGCTGCCTCCGTCAGCACCCGTCCATCGAAGTCCGTCAGCACTTTGGTGTGGCTGCTACCTAGGTGCTTTTGGTAGAACCAGACTACAGCTGGCACCTCTTCGGGTTTGCAGTGACAGGGAAGCTCAAAGCTCATGTCGGCCAGGTAGGCTGCATTTTCAAACATCAGGAAAGCAGGGCAGGGGGTCTTCTGAAAAATGTTTTCCTTCTCTACAATTTCAAAGGCCTGGAGACCCCCCCATGCCCACAGGAGCACAATGGTGAGGGCCAGGTGCATGCCTGAAGGAGTGAGGGGTCAGAGGGGCAGGGCAAAACCAAGGCATTAAAGGCTCATGGGGCTCCCAGAAAGCACTGATGAGCTGAGGCCTCTGGATGAGGAAAGGATTATGCAGCCAGGAAAAGCAGCAACAACCTGCAGAGGAAGTTGCCAAATGCAAGGCAATTTATGCCCAGTGGATGTACAAGATGCCCTTCTAACATTCCAGACCCGATCTTGGGGGAAAGCCATTCTAGAACCTGGCCTTCACTCCCCTTTCTAGAACATTGGCACTCACCCAAGAATGGGTCAAAGGAAACCGGAATGAGAAGGGGCCAAGGTGCTCAGGCAGGGAAATCTCTGCCTCAGTGCTCCAGGCCCTGCCCTGCCAGCCTGGTGGAAAAGTCTTCCCTTTCACCAATCCGGGAAATGGAGGAAACCCGCTCTCCTGCATATCTGGCCATTCAGGAGGCTGGCTGGACCTGAGCTGATGGCTTGGGACTTTCCCAGGCCCAACCTGCACAAGAACTGAGTCTCTAGGGGAAAATTCAACACCTCAAATGAGGTAGCATTTGATCATTTGTTGATTACATGTCCATTCATTGGTTTGGGGCTATAAACATTCTTGTTAAGAGCTGTGGAGATCAGTGTTTGTTTACCATAAACATTTTGCTTTTTTCTTTTTCTGAGTGGAGGCTGTAACTGGTATAGCCAGCATTTGGTTGGGCACACTCTCATCTCTCAAGGCCAGTGGGCTAGAGGCTTGGCAGACTGTAAGGGTGGGGAAAAACTGCTTTCAACTTCCTGAGTTCTTGACTGTCCCGTGGATACACACAGTTCAAAATAGCGAGACACTGAGGGACTAGAGAAGTGGGGAAGATTTGATTCCTATTTTTGCTCTGAAAATTCCAAGTTGAGAAGGGAACTAAGTGTGGATTTCTTATTATGGTCCTGCAGAACCCCCAAGACAACAACCAAAAAACTGCCTCCAGTGACCACCGGGACCTCTGAGAGTAGCTTGTCCCATCAGTCAACCTGGTACAGCTCCAGCAGCTCCTGCAGGAGCCTCTCCTCCTCCTGGAGCCCACCAGACTGTTCCTCCAGACCCTGCTCCTCCCAGCTGAGCCCCTCCTTCATGGATCTGGGGACGCCCATGGCTTGCAGCTTCTGAAACAAGCCCTTGCAGCTCTCTCTCTCTGCCTGGCTCAGCAGGCTCAGGTTCAGTGTGAAGCGCCCAGTGCTCGCCAGGCTGCGTAGGATCCCCAGCACCCCTGCCCGGTCAGCCGGCCCCACGTGATCAGCCAGTGCCACCAGGAGCTCCCCGAGAAGTCCAAACCCCACATCTGTCTGGAAGAGGCGGCCCAGCTTTGGACCCCCAAGCTGCAGTAGAGTCTGGTAGCGCTCTGGCCCACTTAGCAAGTGTCGTCGCCAATTACGGTAGAAGTCAGCAGAGGTCTCGGGCTGGAGGGGGGTTTTCTCCTGAATCACAAAGGAAGGAAAGGGACTCAGGAGCTCTTCCAGCTGCTCTGCGACAGTGACAGTGAGGAGAACCTGTCGGTCTTCATCTTACTCTCTTCATCTTACTACTCTCTGAGCACTGGGAAGGCTGTGGTCCTTGGGGGCCTCATTTTCAGATGAGGAAGCTGGGGATGAGACAGGGAGGGCCCCCAAGGAATCCACGCCATGATTTGAGATTCTCATTTATACTGGACTTTTCCTATTCAAGAATGGAGACATAGCTCTGGCCTTCAAGAGTAAGTCGAGGTTAACTGTAAGTCGTGTGGATGGGTTGATTGGAAATCTCAGGAAGAGAGAAAGGAACTCAAGGATCTGAATGTCGGGGTCTCTCTCTCAACACTGCCATAGGATCATTACACTAGACACCATACAACCCAGAGGCAGAGCAACCCAAATCTGATCTGAGAATGAAAGTCAAAGGTCTAAGGGAAGTGGAGCTTCCTAGCCCAACTTTCTGACTCGTTCTGCCCAGTTCAACTCAGCTTCGCCATCTGCTGTTTTTCTTTCTGGGATTGGAGGCAGAAGCCTATCTGTAGGTTTAACATGACAAATAAAGACAATGTATGTGTGGTTAAAACAAAACAAAACAAAATGAAAAAACAGGATTGAAGCTTTAGGGCAGAGAATCCTGCTGGACTAAAGAGGCAGGGCCTCACCTACCAGGGAGATTTCAGTGGCCACATCCTGGAAGGTCCTTCCCTGAATAGTGTGACAGTTCCAGGGCACAGTTCTCTTTCCTCCCATCTTATCCTTCCGCTCCAGTGGCTTCAGATGTGATGCAAGGACAATACCCCTGTGGGCAAAGGACAGAAACTAAGCAATGGACTTAATGCTGTGTCTGTGGGCGTGAGGCAGCTAGACTTTGCATGGTATAGGATGAACCTGTTACAGACCAATATGGCCATAATAATAACAATAACCACAGCGATAGCTGACTGCTTTCAAGCACTTCACATGTATCAGACACTTGCTCAGTCTTATGTGCAAGAACTCATTTAATTATAACAGTTACTGTTTTACAGATAAATAATTGAGACTCAGAGAAGTTAAGGAAATTGCATAAGATCAAATAGTAGAGGGTGGGGCCCAGAATGGTTTGCTTTCAGGGTTAACTACTATAGTCCACCATAACAGGAGGGCCTGAGAAAAATGGCAGTGAGCCAACCTGAACTCCTCATAGGAAGCCACCCTCTGTTCCACTGCCCGTAACTTGGCAGCATTCTCCCGTTTGTACTTCTCATCAGCAGTGAGTGCAGCCTGCAGCTCTTTCTCCAAAGCGTCGAAGTCGATAATGTCATTCCTTTCCATGGCCTGTGCCCGGGAAGGCAAAGGGAATACACGTCAGTGGACGGTCAATATCAGGGGAAAGAGGGTTATTGGATTATGCGCCAGAACACAAATGACCCCAAAGCACCCTGGACATTATGTCACTCACACTGGGAGGTGTTACAAAAATCTGGTTTTCTATTTTATGCAGACAAGTTGAATTTCACAGTGAGGACTTACACAAGACTTGTCGCTGAAAATAGAATACAGAGTCCTGACTTTCAATTTGGAGTTCTGTCTTAATTTTGCTCTGTGCCTCTAAAAATACTTTTAATTTTGGTGCTTCAGTCGAGGAGGCATTTGGATCTCAGAATTCAGTTCCTTCACTCTTCCCCCATAGGATTGTTCAACAGCAAGTCGTTTCAACAGGGGACCTCACACAAAAGCAGAACTCTTGTTAGGTACCTTTGAGCTCAGGGATAAAGTTTCATTCTTCATTGAATGTCTTCAGTGAAGAAGGAGACTTTCACCCAAACCACACGCAATGACTGAGCAGGAAATCAAGCAGAAGGGGCAGAGGAAGGAGCTCAATGACCCGATCCCAAATCCCTCTGTCCAGCCCAGGGCTGGAACAGAGGTCCCTAGGTACCTGGGCAATGTCTTTAGTTCTACCACTGTACTTCTGTAGCTTCTGCGTATCTGAGGCTGACTGATTTCTACAGAGATATTCTTTTCTTTTTTTTAGACAGGGTCTTGCTCTGTTACCCGGGCTGGAGTGCAGTGGCATGATCTCGGCTCATTGCAACCTCTGCCTCCGGGGTTCAAGCAATTTTCGTGCCTCAGCCTCCCGAGGAGCTGGGACTACAGGCGTGCACCACCACGCCCGCCTAATTTTTGTATTTTTAGGAGAGACGGGGTTTCATCATGTTGGCCAGGCTGGTCTCGTACTCCCGACCTCAAGTGATCCGCGCGCCTCGGCCTCCCAAAGTGCTGGGATTACAGGCGTGAGCCACCTGCAGAGAGATTCTCTACGTGGGTTCTAGTTGTGGCTCTGGCATTTACTTGTTGTGGGACCTCTCTGAACTGCAAACTCCTAGTGAGTTGAGTTAGATTTTGTGGCGGGGTCATCACCAACAGCCCTAGCGCAAGGAAGCAGGAGGTCCCCAACCAATCCCACAGACACCCTACCCCAACGTGGGGAATCTGAACGCCAAGAAGGGGCTGGGCTGGCCAGTAACCGAACTCAAGTGTCCAGTTCTCAGCCCTCCCCAGGCATTTACTAACCCTTCTGTCCCCTTACTCAGCCTCCTGGACCTTCACCCCAGCAGCCCCGTCCTTGGTCCCCTTGTTTTCTTTGGAGATCCCCTGATAAGTCAACATGAGGGCAGCCCCGCGCAGACCACTCCCGCAGCTGTGGTTGCCCAGCAACTGCGCTAACAGCCTGGCCACGTGATCTGCCGGAAGGCCCTCCATTTCAGGGTAGTCCCAAGGCGCCTGATCAGATTCGTTCATCCTCAGGTCTCACCCTCTTTGGAGCAGCCCACGTCTTGGGCTACTCGTCTTGGGGACCAGCTACTCCGCCTTGCCAGTTCCTGTCTCCGCGAGGGCATACCTCGGAACTGGTCCTCAGGCGGAGGGTTGTCCTCCCGGGCAGAAAGGCGACAGCGGCGTCTGCGGGGTCCTTCCTGGCGGCGGGCGCAGACGTTTCTTTGGCGTGGGGCGGAAGCGCGTTCTCCGGCGGCGGCCTCAGAACGCTTAGCTGAGCAGGCGGGAGGTAAGTTGAAGCGGGTTAGCGGCAAGGAATGGTTGCTCCAGGTGGGATAGGAAATTAAAGAACGTCAGATCTGGAAGAGGCTTTATATGCTATCTGCCCCTTTTGCTTTACGGATGGGTAAATTGAGGCCTGGAGCGGAAAAAATAATGGAAGATCCTCTCCGCGTGCCTCCCCAAAGCTTTCGAAGCGCGCACGCACGCACACACCTCGATTTCGGGGCTGCCTCTATAGCCTCAGTCCGTAAAATCGTATCGCTAGGAAGGAGTGTTGCTCTAACTGTCCAGTCCCGTCGCTCATTCCCTTTTCCATCTGTGCCGCCTTCAGCCGTTCTCTGCCAAGTTCCCTCCGACGTTCCCTTTGAGCGCCTGCATTGTAGCGGGAAGCAGCAGTGAGGTTTGTTACCATGAGTCGCTAGTTTTGTGTAACTGTGGGCAAATCAGCTATATTCTCTGTACCATGTTAGAGTCACTCATTAGTTCGATAAATACTTATTGAGGGCTTAGTCTACGCTAGGCACTGTTCTAAGTGAACAAAACAAGCCCTTGCTTAAACTGTAGTTGGGGAAATGAACAGTAAACAACTAGATATAAGTCAGCTAGTGATAAATGTATAACATTTGTGAATAACAATAAAACAGTGAAAGTGGGAAGTTGGAGAGTATGTATGGGGGACTTTTTAGAGTGACAGAGAAGGTAACATTTTAGTGGAGACTTGATTGAAATAAAGGGACAAGGTGAAAATATCAAAGGGAAGAGCGTTTTGGACAAAGAGAATGGCAAGTGCAGTGGCCCTGAGGCAGAACTGAACTTGGCTTGTTCCATGAACAGCTTTATATAAAAATTTTTTCAATCGGCCGGGCGCAGTGGCTCACGCCTGTAATCCTAGCACTTTGGGAGGCAGACTCGGGCGGATCACCCGAGGTCAGGAGTTCGAGACCAGCCTGGCCAAAATGGTGAAACCCCCTCTCTACTAAAAATACAAAAAGATTAGCCGGGTGTAGTGGTGCACGCCTGTAGTCCCAGCTACTCGGGAGTCTGAGGCAGGAGAATCTCTTGTACCCAGGAGGCGGAGGTTGCAGTGAACCAAGATCGTCCCGTTGTACTCCAGCCTGGGCAACAAGAGCAAAACTCTGTCTCAAAAAATATATATAAAATAAATAGATAAATAATTTCTTCAAGCGCTTGACTGGGGTCTTGGGAGAATGAGATAAGCATAAATGCGATAATAGCTTTTTGGAAGTAAAAAGAATCTGTATGCATGTGAAAGTTTCCATAATTTACATTTAGTTATTGGTCCTTGGAGCTCCGATTCTCTCCCTACATTCAGCACCCAGCAGATGGCATTGAGGGAGGTGGAGGTATCAGTCTAATCCAAGAAATATCAGCATCTTAAAATTAAACATCCCATTCAGTTAACATTTATCCAGTTTCTACTTATGCAAGGTGCTGTCTTGGCTGTTGACTGTGTTAGCATTGGTACTTTTTTCTCAACTATTTAAAAATGTAAAATGCAGCTGGGTGCGATGGCTCACAGCTGTAATCTCAGCACTTTGGGAGGCCGAGGCGGGCGAATCACCTGAGGTCAGGAATTCGAAACTAGCCTGGCCAATGTGGTGAAACCCCATCTCTACTAAAAATACAAAAATTAGCCAACTGAGGTGGTGGGTGCCTGTAATCCCAGCTACTTGGGAGGTTGAGGCAGGAGAATCGCTTGAACCTGTGAGGTGGAGGTGCAGTGAGTCAAGATGGTGCCACTGCACTCCAGCCTGGGCAACAGAGTGGGACTCTGTCTCAAAAAAATAAAAAAGTAAAATGCATTCTTAGCTGGAGGACCATGCAAAAACAGGTGGAGGGGCCAGATTTGGCCACAGGTCAGAGTTTGTGAATTCTTGCCCTAAAGTATTAGGAGCTGAAGAGGCATTGTGTCAGCAGCTTACTGTCAGATATTTGGGGAAAAGAAAGTTATTTGTACTGTTCTTGCCACTTTTTGGTATTATTTTAAAATTAAATTTAGTGTCATAAAAGAAGTGAAGGGAAGAAGCAGATGCATGGAACACAGGGTTCTCATGATCAAGGATGGCAAAAAATAATGCTAGCTGTTTATTGAGCCTGGGACTCTGGTAAATTCTTTACACAGGGTGTTTTTTGTAATCCTCGTAAACATTTATTCAGTGAGGATTATTCATTCCATTTTCCAGTTGAGGAATAAGAATCAGGTTTGGAGAGATGAAGCAACTTACCTGAAGTTACATAGTTGTTAGTGGCAAAGTTAGAATTTGAATCTAAGTCTTCTAACTCCAGAGCCCTGATGCTCTAGTCTGTTCTTTATTGCTTATAAACTATAGTTGGTGATGGTAATTAGTACAGTTAACTACTATTTGTTTGTTTATTTATTTATTTATTTTGAGACAGAGTTTTGCTCCGTCGCCCAGGCTAAAACGCAGTGGTGCAATCTCAGCTCACTGCAACCTCTGCCTCCTGGATTCAGGTGATTCTCCTGCCTCAGCCTCCTGAGTAGCTGGGACTACAGGTGCGTGCCACCACACCTGGCTAATTTTTTGTATTTTTAGTAGAGATGGGGTTTCACTGTGTTAGCCAGGATGGTGTCGATCTCCTGACCTCGTGATCTGCCCACCTTGCTCTCCCAAAGTGCTGGAATTACAGGTGTGAGCCACTGCACCCAGCCAGTTAACTACTATTTAAGACAAAATTAAACACTGATAAAGGTGCAAAAAGCTCTAGTAGGATAGGGGAATGAGAAATTGAGGAGCTAGGAAAGCTTGAGGGAGGTGGTGGCATTTGAACTGTTTCTTTGAATAGAATTTCAATAATTGAAGTGGAAAAAACCCACAAAACACTACTTACTTACAAAGGGAAAATGAGTAACTTTACAATAGAGAGGCCTGGCAAACATCACCTTAATGAAGTGATCAAAGTTAACGTTACCACCAATGAGGCAAATTGAAATCATGTATCACCTGATAGGAAATGCTTTGAGAACCACAGTTCTCACATGTTCTCACAGCATCACTTCTATGATATTCCTGCCTAAAACACATAACCTGAATATTATCATAAGGTAACAGACAACCTCAAATCAAGGGACATCCTTAAGGATGTCACGACAGTCCTTGGAAGGAAAGACTGAAGATTGTAAATCCAAAGAGACTAAAGACATGACAACCAAATGCAAACATGATCCTGGATTGGATCCTTGGGCGTGTAAGATATTATTGGAACAATCTGTGAAACATATTGGAACAATCTGT